CTGCTCCTCCGCTTTCTGCCTCAACTTCCCTCTCTGTGACCGCAAAGGGAGGCGATCCCCATGGTCGATTTGAAACCTCACGTCTGTGTCACGCGCTCTGAGATCCTCCGCTGGAAGGGACGCTAAGGGACGAAGTATTTAGTATTGTTTAGATGTAAGTTGTTCTGTATGCCATGCAAAATGCATGGCACTCAGGTACAAGGACGGGGCAACAGATAGCTCTCCACTGGGGTTAAGTTAAAGTGAAAGCAGGAGCCAGAGGTTAGCCAGCTTTGAAGTGGAGCTATCTGAGCAGACAAAAGGGGGAGAGAGGAGAAAGGCATGCTTGCTGGTCTTCAGAGTCACTGGAACTTTTTAAAAAGTTTTGCAAAACATCTGACAGTCCCTGTGGTTTATAAAACCACAGCTACACCCTTCCACTATCAAGGACCTTTGAGTAGGATCAATTTAAAGAAAGTTTTTCCAGACAAGGAAAGTGTATACTAAAAGGCTGCGTCTAGACTGGCAAGTTTTTCTGCAAAAGCAGGTGCTTTTGCAGAAAAACTTGCCAGCTGTCTACACTGGCCGCTTGAATTTCCGCAAGAACACTGATGATCTCATGTAAGATTGTCAGTGTTCTTGCGGAAATGCTATGCTGCTCCCGTTCTGGCAAAAACCCTCTTGCGCAAAAGCATTTGCGCAAGAGGGCCAGTGTAGACAAGGCGGTATTGTTTTACGCAAAAAAGCCCCAATCGCAAAAATGGCGATCGGGGCTTTCTTGTGCAAAACCACATCTAGATTGGCACGGACGCTTTTCCGCAAAAAGTGCTTTTGCAGAAAAGCGTCCGTGCCAATCCACGGTCTTTTCTGCATATGCTTTTAACTGGAAAACTTTTCCGTTAAAGCATTTGCGGAAAATCATGCCAGTCTAGACGTAGCCAAAGACAGAAACTCTTGGGCCACAAGAAATCTGATGAGGTTCAACAAGGACAAGTGCAGAGTCCTGCACTTGGGACGGAAGAATCCCAAGCATTGTTACAGGCTGGGGAGCAACCAGATAAGTAGTTCTGCAGAAAAGGACCTGAGGATGAAAGTGGATGAGAAGCTGGATATGAGTCAACAATGTGCCCTTGTAGCCAAGAAGCCTAATGGCATATTGGGTTGTATTAGGAGGAGCATTGTGAGCAGATCCAGCGATGTGCTTATTCCCCTTCATTCGGCTCTGGTGAGGCCACATCTGGAGTACTGAGTCCAGTTCTGGGGACCCCGCTACAAAAAGGATGCAGACGCATTGGAGAGGGCCCAGCAGAGAGCAACAAAAATGATCAGGGGGCTGGAGCACATAACTTTTGAGAAGAAGCTGAGGGATTTGAGCGAAGAGTGAGGGGGGATTTGATAGCAGCCTTCAACTTCCTGAAGGGAGGTTCCAAAGAGCCTGGAGAAAGGCTGTTCTCAGTAGTGATGGATGGCAGAACAAGGAACAATGGTCTCAGGTTGTGGTGGGGGAGGTCCAGGTTGGATATTAGGAAAAACTATTTCAGTAGGAGGGTGGTGAAGCACTGGAATGGGTTACCTAGGAAAGTAGTGGAGTCTCTATCCCTAGAGATTTTTAAGTCTTAGCTTGACAAAGCCCTGGCTGGGTTAGTTGGGATTGGTCCTGCTTAGGGCAAGGGGCTGGACTTGATGACCTTCTGAGGTCTCTTCCAGTTCTATATTTCTATGAACTTCCCTGGGGAAAATAATGCAGGTCCCAAGGGAAGTAGGTGTAAAGATGAGGGAGGAAACAGTGTTTAATGGCATCACTAGATTTAAAAACAAAACTCTAAACACAACAGGGTGGAAAATCCTGGGCAGAGGTACTTGTTTTATATTACAACAATCTTATATATAGGACATTGATTGCCAAAGGAAAATCTTTGGAAAATTCATAATTATGACCAATATGCACTATTGTAAATAGGAGTGTTTCACACCAAGGAAATACATACATTTCTGTGTACTGCTAATAGTTCTTGCCATAACTCAGGAGCAGTTAAATTCTGTTGCAATTATATAATTTTTCAAGCAACACAACACTGATTACATTGCAAATCCATTTGCTTCTTTAGATGATTCTTGGAGGCATTAAAAACACATAAACCAATAAATCTGCCTGCATGTGTATCAAGTGTCAGGAAGAGCTTTGCCCACTAAAGCTACATATCCATTTATAAATGCTCTATAACAGGGTTTGCATGCTGACTGTGTTACCAAAATTAGCTATTTTCCTGTTTGAGGGCCTGATCCTATATTACCTACATAGGAAAAACTTCTATTCCCTAAGGGAAATTTGCGTATCAAATATAAAATTGGACCTGCTAGCCAGAGTCTGATCTCAATTACAACTGGGTGAATCCAAAATAACTATTGACTTCAGTGGAATTAGATAATTGTAAACATGGCGTAACTGAGATCAGAATCTGGCGCTCCGTGTTTAGAAACTTGCCATTCCCCAGGCAAGCTGAGAGAGATTCTGTGTGTTTCCTGACAGATGCACTACCAAAGATGATGCAGCCCAGGTACAGAGTGAAAGTTGCTATTGTGCTACTTATTCCCTAGCACAGTGGTCACCAACCAGTAGATCAGGATTTACAGGTAGATCTTGGAGCCTCTGACAGGTGATCCTGACTGGTTTGGCCAGGAGGCCATCAAGTGCTGGTACTTCAGTTGCCTCTCCACTTATTGTTATGCTGCTCCTCCCCTCTGCCTTGGAGCTGCTCCTTGGAAGCATCCTGCTTGCTGTGCTGGGTATGGGAGGGAGAAGAGGGAGGTGCTGATGTCAGGATGTCCCTTCCCCCCCCCTACTTCTGTACCCCATCTCCACTCAGAGAGAAGGGGATGGAGGGAGCTCGGCAATGCAAATCTCTGTCACTCTCACACACTGTGTGTGTCTCTGTCATTCTCACAAACACACATTGTCCTTCTCGCTTATCTCCTGGCCCAAAGCGTACATGGAGGGTTGTTACTACGTTTACTGCTTCCAAAATGGGTTATTTTTAGTTTGTGACTGGTCTGTGCATTTCATAACTTTCATTTCTCTCTTATGCTTACATTTAATTAAGTACTAAAATGCTGAATGTTTAATCTCTGAAGTAATTATCCCTTATCTTTGTGGTAATTGTGCTCCTGGAGGTGGCTGGCATGTCCTCGCAGCCCCTGAGAAAGGCAGAGCAGGGGTTCTCCACATGCTGTCTTTGCAGGCAGACACCATTCCTGCAGCTCCTTCTGATCAATAATGGAGGACTGTGGCGGCTTTGGGGTCAGTGCCCATGGATGAAGGGCAGCACACGGAGCCATTGCTGTACAGGCCAGCTGTTTTTGGGGGTGGAGCAGGGCGGGGCAAGGGTGGGGCTGCCTTGGCTCTGCTGTTCTCAGAACAGACAGGACTTGAACCCACCACTTTGTGCTTCTAGCTAAATGTCCCATCCCCTAGTCCACTCCAGATTCTGCCTTACCTTCAGCGGGTCCCTTATCCTGTGTCTGGTCACTTCCAGGGTGGCTGGAAGGGGTGGGCTTGAAGGTAGGGAGATGGAATAGGATTTCCAGTGAACTTGGGTATGGGCATCAGCCTCTGAAGCACAGGATAGTGGGCTCGATCCTCCACCCACTCAGGCAACGGCTGGGCTGCCAACGCCGGCTAACCCAGGGATGGACCTGACGCCCATATTAGGAAGGCAGGATAAGGGGGCCTTCTGAAGGTAAGGGGGGGGGTGCTAGAGTGGCTTACGGGAATAGAGCATTTGCCTGGGGAACACAAATGGGTGGGTTCATGTCCCATATGTGTCCCCCCCCCCACACCCTGGGGAAGTCTGCGCTCCCCCACCCACCTCCAGGAGCAACCAAACACAGAATAAGACAGGGACCCCCTAGAAGGCAGGGAGGTGGGATAGGCTGTCGAGTGGACTTAGGGAATACAGCACTTTCCTGAGGAGGGCAAGGTTGTGGGTGGGAGTCTCCACCCCAGCAGCCCAAACCTCACCCACCCTGAGAGCAACCAGAGAGCTGATACAGGACCCACCAAAGGTAGTGCAGTAGCTTGGGCAGTGGAATGGCATGACCCAAAGGTAGTGCAGTAGCTTGGGCAGTGGAATGGAATGGCATGGCATTTGCCTGGAGAGCACAGGGTGGTGGGTTCAAGTCCTTGGAGCAGCAGGACAGGCAGCTGCTGCAGGGATGGACCAGGTTCCTGCCTTAGGAAAGCAGTGTAAGGGACCCCATGAAGGTGTGTTTTTT